CAGAGAGGAATTTCTGATCTTAGTGAAATTACTTGATAAGTTTGGGAATAATGAAAACAGCATAAAAATATATTGAAAAGTTCTACCATAATCATAGAGAAAGACATACACTCCATGGAGTCTGTCATTTCTTACAATGGGTAGCAAAAAAAAAAAAAAAAAAAAAAAAAGGAATGCAAAATTTAATGAAGCCACAGATTGCCCCTGTGAAGGAACAAGGAACAGGCACCATCACTTCTAGGGGTGGACACTGCAGCTGTTCGACACTACAAAGCCAGGGCACACAACAGTTTACACAAACAAGGGATAATATTGTGTACAGCTGAACCTGGAAGGAAAGTTTAGAGACACTAAGAAATTGCCTAATTTGGTTCTCAGACAGAACTTCTGGATTATCATATCTGAACTCATAAAAAAGTTCAATATGTAAGAACAAATCTCAGTACTTAAGTCTCACTTTTCTTTTAAGCCAGTGCTTGTAGCAGGAGAATATCACCTAACACTTTTGCAGGGTATTAACAAATGCCATATCAAGAGGGAAATGTTACTTGCTGAGTTTCCAACACTACTAGCACCCACTTCATAGTATTGCTCCTTCTACCCTCTAGGCCCATCCAAACAAAGCCTGCCTAGTTTACAAAATATGTCATAAATGGCATGTCTTAAGTGCACAGTGTGAGGTGCAGCCTCGCCTGGGTTTGGACACAGTGGTTTGGCTGCGTACCTGTCTGGACAGCAAAAGGATTCAGTCACCTCTAACTTCCTCGACTTCCCTTTTGTATTGAGTTATATTCTTGCAGGGCAAATGAGGAAGCAAAGCAGACATATTGTTTGCTCGCCTAAAGTTTGATGCAAAGCAAACTGAACTTTCATCCAGACCACCCACCCCTGTAACAAAATTCCCTCTGTTCCAGGGTAACTCCAGCTCTTCTTGTGTGATGAAGCAGACTCACAGAGTAGTGGCTTTCAGTGTCCACCAAGGCCTAGGTCTCCAGAGGATGCAACGGCCACAGGTTTACACTGGGAGAAAAACTGTGGAGCTAAAAGATGGAGAAGATGGAAAGAAAACAAGAGACATGGTACAACGTACAGACTATGCACTTAGCACCAAAGAGATGCGAAGGTTTACGGTACCTTGTACCATCAATTCCTCCTTCAGGAAATACAGAAGTCACACTCACTCTTTAGTCCCTCAATCTAGTGTCACCTGTTAGTTTAGTGACACCCCTTGCCAGAAGGGGAAGGAGCCATGACCCTGAGCGAGGTGGCTTTTTCTCCCACCCACGAATGTTCATCTCATACTGCTTCAGGGTACATTTTTTTTTAGGTGTGTTCAGACCTGTCAGATATTAAGCATTTCCAATAAGACTACTAAAAATGGGATCATCCCTTGCCACTTATTTCTTTGAGCCTGTTGGCATGGATTAAGGTGGCTGAGTGTGATACAGGCAGTATTTTCCTGTGCAGAACTTGCCCAGGGTTTTACATACTTCATACGGTGTGACTCTTCTGCTAGTATAATCTTCGCACTGATTTCATATGCTATGATCAAGTATATCTTACTTACAATATATGATCAAGTATATTCTTACTCACCGTTTAGTTAAATTAATACCAACCCAGAATGGAATGTGCAACGAGCCTCCCCTGGCTTCAAACAACAGTTTTCTCACATAATCAACACAGATTATTTCCTCTCCCTACCCCAACCGCCTGCTAATCCCCACTGGTGCATATGGGTTTGGACTCCTGCTTTTGGAGGCCTGGATAAATGCTACACCAACCACAGCTAATCACCACGCTCTCCCTACAACAGCAGATACATATTGCAAAGTCTTTTGTATATAGCAGCAGGCTGAGAGGGTGAATGACATGCCCAAAATAATCTGTAAACAAGCACAAGAGCCGGATGTACCCCCAGGCCAACTTCTCCCCAGCGGACATGGCAGCAGTGGGAGGACAGGCTGCACGTCAGGGGAGAGCCCAGGCTCTCTCAGCTGTGTGGCATTGTCTCAAAACAACACTCGATGAATAATATTTCCAGGGAACGTTCTGTGTCAGTTTTTCAAGATGTAGCTAACTCCACTCTTTGCAAAATAAGGTTTAAAGAGGGGGCACTTCTACCTCATAGCACAAATCTGGTGATCATTCCTCATTTTCAAATTATGTAGGAATGCATTATGTAGGAAGGACAAAATGAGCAGCAGAACTAAGAACATGATGTTTTGTGATAGACAGGAAACCAGCATCACCCTCCGAAGCCCTTGCACAGATCACATCAGCAACAAATTGCATTTTGCCTGATAACTCATGTGCCAAAGTTTCATCCCCCATGAGACTGAATGAGCTAATTTTATATCACTAAAATGGCAGTTGTAATCAGCATGGAACTCACATGTGAATTATTACTATTGAATTATTATAATTCCTAAATTCTAAAACCACACACATCGGGCTCTTCCTGTATTGTTTGCCCAAGAGTATACAAACTGTACTTCCCTTTTGGCCGAAGATGTTAATGAGGGATTTTCCAGCGTTTGGGGAAGTGATTTTATTACTGGAAGAAAGGAATTTGCTTAACTGAAAGTGGTGCCCATGCGGCAAAATCCTGCCTTCTCCTTTGGAGAAGCTAGATTCACTTTCAGCTCCTGCCCAACAGGGAGATGCTGAGGCTTGCCCGGGCCTGGTCCGTCTCCCGAGGCCGCGGAGCCTCCAGCGCTCTAGTCCGAAGCACTCACGCGCTCCCTTCCCAGACCAGCGGCTTCCCCGGCTTGGCCTCCCCCCGGGCGCGGGGCAGCGGGAGCGGCCGGCCCCGCTCTGCGGGGCTGTGGGGGCAGCGGGTGGGCGGCGGGGCCGGGCAGTGGCTCCGGCAGCTCCCGGAGCCCCCTCGGAGCAGAGCGGCGGTGCCGGCGGCGCGGCAGGTGCGGC